TTTTTTATTTGCTTTTTTAATTATGTTTTCTTGAACAATAAAAAAATGAATGAATAAATAAAGATAAGAGCTGGATTGTATTTTGCTTGAGATTGGACCTTCATACTGGGCCTGTGCCACTGTTACTGATCCACACGCCTTATGCCTGTATTTTTTGTTGTTGTTTGAACACACCAATTGCATTGCTGCCGAAAATCCTCTTGGACTCACTCTGGATTGGGCCTTAGCGCCTCAAATGCTTGGCATACCATCTGATTCAGAACCTCATACCTCCCTCTTTTTCCCATTCTTTTAATTTTTCCTTTTCCATTTTTATGGTTTTATTTTATTTTATTTTATTGATTTTATGTATTAAAAAGTAATAAGAATAATAAAAAAATATATAAAATGCTTTAGGAGTATTTTAGGATTTAATTAGATTTTATTCCTATTATTTCTTCATGTTCTTAATCTCTTTTTAAGTCAAGTTTAAACATCAGGTTTTATGTGTTTTCTTTGTGTATATTAATAAAAAAAGATGCTTGAGTATTGAAGATTATCTTGTGTTGAAAGGGCATGCTCCTTTAGGATTCCATGAGACGATTAATCTTTCTTTTGATCGTCTTATGTTGATTAGACATTAGAATGTTAATACAAGTATGATAAGATTAGGATAACTTTCCCTTTAGCTCAACCTTAGGACCATTTGAGATTTTCCCCCAATAAAATACTCTAACTCATTCAAATCATTTTATGCTCTTTGTGCACTTTTCTCTTTAAAAATCTTTTCTCAGAGATTAGACTCTTGTCGATTCTTGTAGTAATGTGAGCTACTATACTTTTACAATATGTTAGTGAAGTGAGATATTTTCCACTTGGGTGTTAAGTGAGGCTTTGTTGATTTTGAAATCCAAGCTATATCCTTCACTTTGAGATGACGCAAATTTTCCTTTCTCATAATCGTAGGTAGTAAGTATATTTTCCACTCGGATATGATGATGATGTCTTGTCTCTTAAAATTAACCAACACACTTGTGTTTTTAAATTTTTAAAGGAGAACTACGAGTACCATGATCCCCTATTGCACGAAATATGGTACGTAGGCACTAAAGGTTCACAACTGCGGAGGATGCAAAAATTGTAAAAAATACTTCTCTTCTCATCCCTACAATCCATTTTTGTATACAACACTTATGGCCAAAATACACAAATTTTCAAAGAGGTTCCTATGGAGTATCGTAGATGTTTAGGGTGCTAATACAGTCGCTTTGCATAACCAACCCCCGAATTTATATTCTCTCCCCCTCTTTTTGGGTTATTAGCTCTTTTCCCATTTCTTTGGAAATGATAAAGCGCGATGGCGATTTTTATTTGATCTGTGCGAGTTAAGTCAATCCAATAGCTTAGTCTCAACATTTCTACCGCTACAATACTAACATTTTGAAAAAATTTAGAATGTAACCTTTCATCCATTAACATACTAATAGGTTGCAGTAAAAATAATTAACAAAAATTGTACCTCTCATCATTAGTTTCTTTTCAAATGTGTGAACCTGTGCAACAAATCTATATATAAACTGGTTGTCGGTATCTTATAATGACACACACACACATATGTGTGTGTGTGTGTCATTAAGTATATATTTTCTTCACTCAAAATTCACCTACCATGAATCAATATAAATATATAAAAGTTAAAGTACTATTATGTATACACTTATGACTTCATGTTATACCTTTTTTTATTCCATGGATAAAAGTGTCTAATTAGACCATTGCTTCAATTCTATGCATTTGATGTTTCACTCCTACAATTCTTCTTACTATTATATTTTATTTTAATCTAATCTATTATTTTGTTATGTTTTAGGACTTTTTTTACACGTTTAATTACACAATGCATAAGTTGGAAAGACAAATCATATTCCAATTTAAATGCACCATTGAAAATAGTCTCTCCTCAATAAACTTTCACTCTCCTCAATGCATTGAGAATTGAAAGAACACATTAATTGATAGTACTATCTTTAAATCAATTGCTCTATATTATCATTCAAATTAACTTATTCTTTAAACAAGAAATATCTCTTTTATCTCTTTTGAGTCGTTGTGGCTGTACACCCCCAGTAAACCACCACGAACTTCAAATGTTTCTTCGTTAGTCTCTCTTTGCATCATCACCCATCACAAAATCACTGAACCCTTCAGTCTCTTTTTCTATAAAAATACCATCTTTTTATTTTTCTCTCTTCCTCTCTCTCAAGCTTAAAAGTTTGTGGCTTTTCAATTTTCTGCAAACGTTTAGGTACTGGATTGAGGGTTGAGGTTCTGAGCGGTGTCAGGAAGGCGATCCAGCTTTTCTTAAACTGATTCTTGGAAGTTTTCATTCTATATTTCTGTAGCTTTAAAGTGGCGATGACAACTGCAACATATTTTCCTTTTGTTTGTTGCTAGATATTCGTCTAACATACTTTCCTTTTGTTGTGAAGATGAGAATGTTTGGTAGGAATGGTCTAAAACAAAGTATTATATTTCCTTTATAGCCTGAAAACTATTTTTCAACCTCTTCTCTAATGCATATGTCTATCGAACTAGGTTGGTCATCTCTATTTGACAAATGTGAATCGCTTGGAAAAGCTAATGTTAGAATTTGGATTCTCTGTTGACTCTAATAGGAAATCAACCAATAAGAGGAAATAACCTAACCAATGATGTCTCCAAGTTTACAAGAGATGGAAGAAGAAAACCAATTAGTATGAGAGGAGCTATCCACGGGTTTTCCAATAGAGCATAAGTCCTTCCACCACAACGACACCTCCCTACTCAAACTTACTCCACCTAAAACCTCCAACTTAACATTACCATACCTTCAAGAGAGAAGATCAGACCACAAAGAAGAATCCTCATTAAGAATCACCCACTTCCACTTACTTAAAAAAGCAAGATTGAACTATCCACAATGTCTAACTCCCAAACCACCTTCCTCCTTAGATAAACAGATAGAATCCCAACTAATCTTTTTAACATTATAACCCCTCCCTATAAAACTCTCTTTGGATATTTATGATTTCATTAATGACCACCTTAGGAGCCTTACATAAAGATAAGAAAAAGATGGGCATATTAGATAAAACAAAGTTCAAAAGAACCACCCTACCTCAAATAGATAAGAATTTATTATGCCATATCACAAATCTTATTTTAAACTTGAAAATAATCGAAGTACATAAGTCTTTTCTTCTAGGATTAATGCCAATAGGAATGCCCAGAAACACAAAGGGAATCAAATCGAACCCACTAGACAAAAAAATTACGGTTGCCTACAAAAAATCATAGTTAAGATTTTTTTTTGAACATTAAATCACAGTCAAGATTAATCCCAAACAATTTGCGTTTGTACAAATTCACCTGAAGACCCGAAACCAACTCAAATCCTCTAAGCAAGGCTTTGATGGTCCAAAGATTCTTCCAAGATTCCTTTCCAATCAAGATGGTACCGTCAACAAATTGCAACAAATTAAAGTGAGTAGAGTCATCAAAGTGGAAAGCTTCAAATCCCCCTAATGAAATCGCTTGGTGCATTAAACCGACAAAACCTCCCGCTACCAAAAGAAAAAGGAAAGGAGAAAGGGGATCTCCTTGTCTTAAACCTTTAGACACTTTAAAGTCCAAAGTATGGCTCCCATTAACAAGAACTAACATAAAACTATTAAACACCAACTCTTCCATCCACCCACACCACTTCACACCAAACCCCATTCTTCTCAACATACTTCTAAGAAAATTCCAAAAAACACAATCATAAGCCTTCTCAAATTCCACTTAAACCAACATACACTTTCTCTTTGCCTTTTTAGCAAAATCCACTACCTCGTTCAAAACTAAGACACCATCCAACATTTGTCTATTAACAACAAAAGCGATTTACCACTTAGAAATGAGCTTGGGAATCACCACTTTCAAACTAGTCACTAGAAATTTAGTTAAAATCTTATACACACTTCCCACTAAACAAATAAACCTAAATTCATCAAGAGAAAAAGAATTATTCAATTTAAAAGTCAACAATAATAAAAGATGCTATAATCACTTTTGGAATTCGAACACCACGATGAAACTCCGCAACCACTCTTAATAGATCATCCTTCACAAAATCCCAACAACTCTATAGAAACTCATGTTAAAACCATCCTTCAAAATTCACCCATGTCGGTGAACAACTCTTTTAAATATAGATAAATGACTTTAATTTATAAATAAAAAATCTATTTAGTAAAATGGTATTTCTCTAACTATCTGCTATAGTACTGTAATACTCTTGTAAAAGTTGAAAAGTGCAAGGGTGTGTTTGGTTCAAGAATTCGAAATAGATTCTCTGGAATATGTTACTTGAGAATAAAAATAAAGAAGTTTGATTCGTGAATATTTTAAAAAAAAATTTAATATGTTATTTGATATTTCTAAGAAAATTAATAATCATATTTTTAATAAAAAAAATTATGTAAAATTTCATAAGAATAAACATTCTTACCTTTTTACATGTGAATAAAATCAGTGAAATTATAGAAATTATTGAAACTTATTTTATTTTTTAGAATCTTTATTTCTGAAAATAATTTTTTTTAAACTCTTAACAAACATGAGTGTATATATATATATATATATATATATATATATATATATATATATATATATATATATCAGAAAAATAAATACCATACTCTCCTCTCCCCCCAAATCAAAACCCTAACAACATTCGAAGCTCTCACGGCAACGCCATCGATCCCCAATTCTCCTCCAAGCAGAGGTAATTCCCTCCTAATCCCTAATCATCTCTTCACCTATCGTTCTTCAATCTCAATTTTCACCAATCTTTCGTATTCTCCTTCGAATTTCTCTATCTCTACGAATGATTCAATTTCCTCGCTGAATTCGATTCACCGTTCTTGAATTATCCACTAGTGCATAAAAAATTATATTTTTTTAATCGCAACTTCTTGAATTTGCTGTAGAAGGACATAATGAGCAGACGTTCGAGCAGAACCGTTTATGTTGGGAATCTACCCGGCGATATCCGTGAAAGAGAAGTTGAAGATTTGTTCATGAAGGTTATTTCTGATTTATTAATTCAATTTGTTTTCTTTTTCTTTTTCATTTTGATCTGGAATATTTCTCACTAGTTAGGGTTTTGGTTTTGGTTTTGAAGTGTTGGGTGATCTGCTGTAATTAATTTTACCTTAATCTACAACAAAAAGCCCTCAGCTTGATACGATCTATACCTACATTGGCTTTATTGCACAATTTGTGGATTTAAGTATTCTACACTACTTTTTGTTTACCTTTCTTATAAATTTCGCTTTTGTAGTATGGACACATAGCTCACATTGACCTAAAGGTTCCGCCAAGGCCCCCTGGCTATGCATTTGTAGAGGTGAGTTGGGAGATATGTTGGCTATTGAAAATTGAAAATTTCTCTTCTGTTTCATTTTAGTTCCTAAAAAAGAATTGATTTTTGCAGTTTGATGATGCTCAAGATGCTGAGGATGCAATTCGTGGGCGTGATGGTTATGATTTTGACGGGCATCGGTTAAGGGTAGGTTATGCTTTACATTTAAATTTCTGTCAGAAGAGGGGGGCATGATAGATGCAATGTATAATATTGTTTAAACCTGGGTCTCGATAGGTGGAGGCTGCTCATGGGGGTCGTGGTACTGGTAATTCATCTTCAAGAGATAGACATAGTAGTCAAAGCAATGGCAGGGGTGGACGTGGAGTATCCAGGCGCTCTGAATACCGTGGTGTGTAGGCTTTTTAGAATATTGATTATGTTTTATTTGAGAATGCTTTTTGTATGCTTCTGAAATTTTGAGGCCCTCTTTTGCAGTTCTAGTTAGTGGATTGCCATCTTCTGCATCCTGGCAGGATCTTAAGGTGAGATATTGTGTTCACTACTGTTCTATCTTCATTTACCATTCTATCGGACTATTTATTTTGGCGCTTATCAATTAATGGTTTTCTTAAATGCAGGATCACATGCGAAAAGCAGGGGATGTTTGCTTTTCCCAAGTTTTTCACGATGGAAGGGGTACAGGACCTTCAGCTAACTTTTTTCAGTCTAGTTGTGCCCTTTGTATCACATATTAGTATTAGTAATTAAAAAGTTTTGAAATTGCTGGTTCATTATTCCCCCCTTCGCCAGCTGTCATCTTAAAGCACTCACATCCATCACACTCATTTGAGTTCTTTAAATCGGCCCAACTTGATTTTTAATATTATTTTCAGTTCCGAGTTGTTTAAACAACTCAACTACATTTTCTAAATATCCATACAATCTATCAAAAACTCTAAAATGAGTCTCACCGGACCCCATAATATATCCCACATTTTCATTTACTTTTAATTATATACATTTTTTTGATTCAACTTATTGAGATATGAACATGGTGTTGGATAGAACATTATGGCATTATTTGATCCCTGTAGCCAACGCCATTTAGTGGGATAAGACTTGATTGTTATTGTATATTTTTTCTTATCCAACTGAAATGAAAAGTACTGTTGTTTAGTATGGCAACATTGGCAAGTTAGAGAATGGTTTTATAAATGCAATATCCATAAAACTCAGACATAGTTTTGTTGGTATTGGTGAAAACACGGTATGCACTAACCAATATGTATGCTATTTGTTCTATCTATGTTGTGGTAGCCTGTTAGAAAAGTTAGATTTTTTTTGTTATGACTCGAAGAGCTCTTTAATGTAGTGTGATTGATTTTCAGGTACTACTGGAATTGTGGATTACACAAACTATGATGATATGAAATATGCTGTGAGTCACTTCTTCACTTATATGGTTATATTTATTTCAAAGGATATAATGGACATCATATGTTTTTATGAGCATTGCATTCTTGTGATTTTATAATTCTTTTTGCTGCAGATCAAAAAGCTTGATGACTCTGAGTTCAGAAACGCATTTTCCAAGTCTTATGTTCGGGTATGACCTGAATTGGGTATTTTGAAAGTATTTTTTTCCTAATGCATGCCACTTCTACTGATATTTCTTTCCTCTTTTTGCTTATGTAGGTGAGGGAATATGATTCGAGGCGGGACTCAAGAAGTCCTAGTCGTGGCCCATCTCATTCTAGAGGAAGAAGCTACAGCCGTAGCCGTAGCCGCAGTCGTAGTGACAGCCCTGTGCGGAGCCCAAGGTTTGTTCAACACATGTATTGGATTCTAAGATTCCTTCTGTGAATATTTCATCTTGTTTTTTTTTTTTCTTAAATAAAACTTTTGTCTGTCATACAGCAAATCTCCAAAGGCTAAATCCTCACAACGATCACCTGCTAAATCTCCAGCCAGATCGGTTTCTCGTTCTCGCTCAAGATCTAGGTCCCGTTCTTTATCAGGGTATGAAATGTTTAAATGTGTACACACATAGCTATTAATATTTGTCTGATGGCTAATCTTTTGAATTATATTTTGATTGTTGTTTGAGATTGATGCCCAACTTAGGTTTTTAGTAATCTATTTGGAGTTTCTTAGTCTCTTAGATATGTGCTGGGACAAAAAGTGTCCTCATAAAAGAGAGGCATGTTAACAGGTTGCATGGGGGACATTCTCTAATTATGGGTATTGATAATGAACAAAATAAAAGCAATCAGAGTTTCATTCATGAAACAATTAATTTCAAGCATAAATTGTCTTGGCAAAGTTTTTGTATAAATAACTTAGCTTCTACGGTTTTGTCTTACTGAAGTCAGTTGTCTTTGCTATCTGTTGTTTCGTGTTGATAAACAACATCCTAGTGAACTTAGTTTTGTTAAACACCCTTCTTTTATCAAAAGTGAAAGTCATAGAGCAATAGTATGCAAATAAGTTTTTTTCTTAAAACTCAAACTATTGCTCTCTTCACATCCCCTCTCGTGTCAATTTTTTCATTCATGCATTACTCGCGTGGTATCCAGAGAAACATGCCTCCTTGTCGGAATGTTCTCTTTCAGTTTCCTTTTGTTTTTGTGAAAATTACTTTGTTTTTTCTTAGATATGGAAATTGCGGCGTACTGGAAATTGGAAATTAGGGACTTGGTGGGATTTGGTTCAATTGCCTGCAACTCAATTTGTTGTGGAGGTATGATATTTTTTAGATGGGTGCCTTTGGTTACCCTCATAGTACATTTGTTCTAATACTTTTAGCATGTAAATGTCCATGGGTGCTAGATTGGGAAACAACGAGATCATGGATTGCCATTTTAGCATGTAAAGGAAATTGGATTTGGAAATCTCCACCAATGATCACTAGGGTGCACTGTCTGGATTTTGTGGTGCAGTGGAAGATTTCTTTTCTCCAGTTCACTGGTGTCTTAAAGTTGAACCCTATGATGGTTTATTTTCCATTCATTTTTCATCAAATTACTATGCATTTGATAGCCATAACTCTGCGTTCTTTAGCTTTCTCTGTTGTGTTTTTTTTTTTTTTTAATTTATATTTTATGATATTTGTTTTTTACCTCTCTTGGGTTTGCAAACTGTGACATTGGAGAGACATCAAGGCTGTTGGATCAAATTTGATAAGGGGACTTGTGGATTTAAATTCTGTTGTTTGTGGAACTTTTGCAGATCACGGTCAAGGTCAAGATCTCCATTACCTCTGGTGAGTGAATTTTCTCTAACTACCATTGAACATTAATTTTCTTCTTCTCCTTTGTATTGGCTGAATTATTGTTTTTAAAATCAACTCATGTTGTAATACGGCCAATCGTGAGGGAGACTAGAATTTCTCTCGGCACAATGTATATGATTCATGCTATTCAAAACATACATTTAGCTGTTGTCATTTGCATCATAAAATGGGAGTCTTAGCTTTTATATCATGCCATGCATTACCACAAGAACACATGTGTGAAGTAGATGATTCTCATTTTTCTTGTTATCGTTTGGTGTTTGATACTAAGGTGGAAAAGTGAATGTATGGTGTTTTGGAACTTAGAAAGGGTGTATTTGCAGTTTTAAAGTTATGTATATTTTTGGTATTTGGGCTTTCCCACTAATGTTTTTATTTATCAGCGTAACAAAAGCCCTATAAAGCGCAGTGCTAGCAGGAGTCCAAGTAGGAGCAGGAGTCCAAGTAGGAGCCGAAGCAAAAGTCTATCCAGGTCACTTTCTTGAGATCTTCTATTATCATTTTGTTGCATTTGTTTCAATTAATTTTGTTTGATACTACTGGCTTTATGCTCATCCCTATTTTGTTTGGGACTTGATCTGGCAGGTAAGCTCTAATTGTCAAAATTGAAGAAGTGGATGTGTGAGAGCTACAGAATTTTTCTAGTTAAATTCGACGTTGGCCGGGTTGAAGTTGTTTGAACTTTAAACTCCTTTGAACTGTACTCGAGAGACCCGTGCCTTATGGCACCTTAGGCTATGAGGAAACTGATGGACCTTAATTTTATATGGTAGTAAACTGCTGCATGTCAAACTTTTACTATTTAGTTTCTTGTTTGAATTTATTTTGTAATTTGTATTGGCTATATTAACATTATTATAAATGCGGGGTGATACATTTGACCAATCCTTTGTGCCTAATGGATCTTGTGTCTGCTAGGTTGAAGAATAATGGAGGGAAGTGAAACCAAATTTAGCCCTCCATAAGTGGTGGATTTAGTAGGGAACAATATTACATATAAGTTTTTATACTTAAAATTCATTTTATTTGACATAACCTCCAAATATGATTTTATACTTTTCTTATGTTTAAATTCTTCCTTTCACCTTGATCAGTCAAACTCAACATCATATAATTCCTTCTTTTCGATGAACCTATCCTAAAAAGGATTGAAACTTGTCAAATAACTTTATTTGTAGCTTTTATTATGCTATACTCTTGCAAGTTGAAATTAATGGGATACTTCTTTGTTAGAGAAAAGAAAAGGTTTAATTAAAATGATGTGTTTTTTTTTTGCAAATGATCAATTTTGGAACAATCTCAGTTTTATCTGGAGAATAAAAAAGCACGTGAAAAAAAAGGGTGTGGGTATCATTGTCATCCCTTTACTTGAGATAAGAAATGTGTGACTATGGTCTGAATTTATCTAACGGTAGATACCATACAGAAACAACTTGATTGTCAAGTCGCAACAACAACTGTGGATCGTGCTTTGTCTGTCCTTTTTCTACTCGTGTGGTTGTGTTTTGAGGTACTGTTGCTTTCAAGGGATAGTCTCTTAAATCATTGAGCTCTTCATTTATTACTACTGATGCTTGTATGTTGTGAATCTGTGGTATACCATTGCACAACAAATTGGTTTCATAAAATTATACTTGCAATCACGTATTACCTCTTTTGCTCTTCTCATCATAATGAATGATCAAGTTATATAATACAAAATATTTTTTAAACTGAATGATATTTTAATTGTATATTTTTTAAGGCCAAAGAGTCTAGTGACTTTGAATAAGTGAAATGTCGAATGTTTAAATCTGTTCTATATTGTCTCATATTTCTGTGTAATTGATTTAGTGACTTTGAATAAGTGAAATGTCGAAGGTTTAAATCTGTTCTATATTGTCTGACTTTGAATAAGTGAAATGTCGAAGGTTTAAATCTGTTCTATATTGTCTGATATTTCTGTGTAATTGGTTTAGTGACTTTGAATAAGTGAAATGTCGAAGGTTTAAATCTGTTCTATATTGTCTGATATTTCTGTGTAATTGATTTAAGACGCTGTTGTTATTTGTTTTGTATTGATATTTAATATATAAAATTGATTAACTTTTTATTTAAAAAATTATTAATTATGAAAAAAGATTGTGATTTTAAATGAATAAGTATAAATTAAAAAAACTCTCATCTACAGGAACTTTCAACAAAACAATTTTCACCGAAAAAAAATTATAAAAAAAACCAAAATAAATTCTATATGAATTATAGAATGATTGGTAGAAGAGATTCATTGAACCTTATAACAAAATATACGGTTGGACTACTGCATTTACATTGAGGTAGGTAAAATTTGACTACAAATTCAATCTTAGACAAAATTTGAAATAAATAATTTTTTAAGCACAAACAGAAAAATGAAATAATTTTTACTAACATTATTCTTATCTTGTGTCGGTAAAATTTCATTAAAATATCAAATATATAAATACACCAACCCAACACCGCAACAACATCACATTTCCAACACCAGTTCCTGGACAATTCTTGTGGTTCAGAAACAACAATCTGAAACCAAAAGAAATGTTGTCGGAATTAGCCGACGACATAATTCTCAACATACTATGGAAGGTTGAAGAAGACCCTCGCGACTGGGCTCGTCTCTCTTGCGTCTCTTCAAAGCTCAACTCTCTCATCCACGCTTTCTGCTGGAAGAACAAAACCTCACTCACCATCCCTTCAGAGCTTCTCTCTTGTTCATCACAAGAACACTCTCTTCATAAACTCTCTTTCTGTTGTCCCGGTCCTCTTCACGCCGGTATCCTCTTCAACAACACGGCTGATTTCCCCGACGAACACCACCACCAACCCACCACCACCACCACGGCAACAGTGCCAATACCGACAACATCTTCGTCTTCTCGACCTAATGAACCTAATGAATGTTCTTCCATTTGGTCACTTTACGACGATCTTTATCATGATACCCTCTATGCAGATTCTGAATTCCATCAAGAAGAACCTACCCATGAAGAGATTCGAGCTGGAGTTGTTGATGTTCCGGTTGAATCTAAGAAAAGAAAGGTTACTGGTTCATTGAGTTCGCACTTGGCGACAGGAAAATGGACGCTGAGTAGAGAACAAGGGAGTAAGCTACTTGGGAGACAGTACCGTGATGATTGTTTATATGTTTGTGATTGGCCTGGTTGTGTTCATTTGGAGGAGAAGAGAAAGTATAGGCTTTTCAGAGGGGTGTTTATGAATTTCAAGAGGACGCGTGTTTGGAAGACGGTGAATGATTGTAGTAACAGGAAGAAGATTGATTTGCCTTGTGCTTTTTGTTCTTGTAATCATACTTGGGATCTTTATTCTGCGTTTTGTTTGAAGAGAGGGTTTGGCTTTCATGATGATGGGGAGCCTGTTGTTAGGGCTTATGTTTGTGATAATGGTCATGTTTCTGGTGCTTGGACTGATGTTCCCATCTACTCTTGATCATCATTCTTTTGGTTTGTTTTGATTTCTTTTTATGTTCTGTCTTTTGTTTATTCGACTTGATGTTTGCTTTTCTTGTATGGGATTAGGATTTATTTTCATTTGTACTTCTTCATTTTGTTATTATCATTATTATATCAAGTTTGTGTGATTTCAACTGTTTGTCTCAGAATCTCATTTTGTGGAATTATGATGCTTAATCTGTTTGCACTTCTCAAATATGCTTTTCAACTGATTATGCTAAATCCACTCATGCCTGGTATTTTGTTTGTTTGGATAACCCAACTCATCAGTCATGACAGATTATTAAGATTTAGAATTCTTGTTGTCTTTTTTATCATAAATTCCTTATTCTGCAATCTTCAGAAGATTTTGTAATTACAAATCAGTGCTTTGGTTTTGGGGAATGTGGTGCCAAAAGATTTGGTCACCCTCATAGTATATGACTTTGCTGATTACATAGCTTGACCATAACTCAGTTCAGCTCGTTAGTTCGAATTATTTTTGTGTATGTAGTCTTTCATAGACGTGATAAAGTTATCGTGTTTAGGGCTGTCTTTGAGGGCGTATAAAAATTTGTCACGGTTAAAGAATGATTAGAAAGGGTCTCATAACATATTGTCATAGTAAAACTATGAAAAAATAGGGCCTCTTTGTTTTTCCGAAATTAAAACATGATAAACCTACACCGGCAAATATCAAGTAAAGAGAAAGAGTATTGAATGTGGCAGAACCACCTTACACACCTTTACACATATTATTCATTTAAGCACACAAGTGACAGAACAATCACATTTACAAACTATTTTAGTATCTTGATTATAATAAAAAAGCTAAATGAACCTTATTCTATAGAGTCAACATGACATAGAATAAACAAACCTTATTCTATAGAGTCAACATGACATAGAATAAACAAACATTATGAAAATTTTAAAAGAAATTCATGTTTTCTTTTGATGAAAAGATTTATTCTTATTGCTATAGGATAATGTAGATGCAGAGCCAATGAGATCAATGTTTGGTTTTTGGCTTCTTCACAATCATCACAGTGCAATGAGCATGATGAGCACAGTAGTCACTTACACTGCCTAAAACCGCCCTGCAAACAATAACAGTTTGAGATTATTTTGTTTCATTTGAGAATACTAAAACTGAATTTAGTACATTCATTTGTATCAGAATGAACATGTACCTTTTTATAGCTCCATAACCATGGCTACCAACAACCAATGTTGAAGCATGATGCTTTTCCACAGCATCACAAAGAACATTTCTAGGATCACCTTCAACCGTTTCCACAACTATGTCTTTTATCTGATAATAATTAAACTAGTTATCAGATCATAATCTAAACGCATGTACCCGTTGTTCAACAACGACTCTAACACAGACACACAGAAAAGGACGAGTCGATTAATCAATTACCGATCTCTTGGTGCAGATTTCCTTAGCTCTTTCAATAACCAACACAGCAGTTCTTTTCAAATCGGCATCCACAACAGGCAACACCTCAGCAGCTCCTACAAAACCATTGTTACAAAATCAATATCATCATCAAAATCAAATATCATCAACAATCATAAATATTCATACCAGGTCCAACGAATCCAACACTAGCACTAACAGAAGGTTTGGCATAAACAAGAACAAGTTTGAAGATTGGATTCGACACTGTTGTAAACAAATGATCCAAAGTCCATTCAAGAGCATAGGTACTATAATCACTGTCGTCGATGCCAACCACCATCACTTGCTTCTCCTGAGTTTCAGCCATTGATCTTGTTTTTCTCTATGCAACTTCTTCAATGTAACGTTATTTTTTGCTTAGTAATATAAATATAATGCTATTTTTAACTTTACTAAGGTGCAATATGTTGAAGTATGTATGTATGAACATATATACACCACAATAATAATAATGATAAAGCATATGAATAGGGTTCTTTACGTAGCACGCACTATTAGGGATTCTGTTCTATCTAATTCTAGAATTTACTAGCTGAAAAATGAATGGACAGAACTATATAATCGTCACAAACCTTAACAAAAAGCATCATTAAAGAACAAATGGTAGACATGTATATGTTCGTTAGTAATGGTAGACAACTTTATCTATAATTAGGTTTAATAAAACAAATTTAGTTGAAAGTAAATATAAAGTTAAGTAAAATTGTGAAGTGATTCTATTTATAACACAACACCTCTTGATAGAAAATAATTCATGCAATCAACAATTTTCTTTTTTTAAATTTCCTGTGATGAATTAATTTTATTTTTTCTACACACAAAAAATATCTGCTTTCACCCTACTTTAATTAAAATTTAATAATAGTATTAAAGTTTCTCTAGTTGTATAGATTTTTCGAAAATTCTTTTTGATCTTACATTATAAAATCTCCATCTCCTCTCTCTCACAAACATTTATGGATATATGATCAAGCTTAATGAGTGATTAAAGATTCAATTACAATATCTTTTTGTGTTTTATTACATTTTGTTGAATCATGTCCAATGGACACCAAAAGAAACTAGTGTCTTTACAAAAGGAAATAAATGCAGGAAAAAAAAAGAAATTGAAGGGTGAAATATTATAATCGCCAACTTAATCATTCTCATTAATTGGATCAAAATTTATACATCAAGGTTTATTAGTAATATTCATTTTTCTTAGCCGACCATAATGCCCATCAACTGAGCACCTGAAAGAAGTTATGATTTGCTCATAACGCTCATACCAAAGGGGCACAACCCTATGGAATAATACAAGTGATCTGGAGGTAGGATACAATATGTTAGTATAAAGTGATGAAATTGAGGAAGAAGAGAGAAAATGGTAAATGTTAAAAGCTGTCACTAATGATTGAAAGAGGAATTGTATTGATTAATGAAATTTAGTACACCTATTTATACACAAAAATAGTAAAGATAAGAATGCTATATAGGCTCAAAAGAGAATATTCCTAATATAGTAAATACTAAATTACCCTCTAATACCATTCCGTAATTTAGTAACTATCAGAAACTAACAACACCAATTTCATTTCTCAAATGAAGAAATTGATCTGTTTTTATTGTCTTCGTCAGAACATCTGTCAGCTGTTTCTGGGTGTTACAGTGCAGAACTTCTAACACTCCTTTCTGCACTTGACTTCTCAGAAAATGACACTTCGTCTCAATATGCTTGCTTCTTTCATGCAACACTGGATTTTTGGCAAGATTGACTGCAGACTTGTTATCAATCAACAGCTTCAGAGATTTCTCTATCTCAATCTTCAAATCCTCCAGAAGATTCAGAAGCCAAACAGCTTGACATGCAGCTACAACACCTGCAATGTATTCAACTTCACACGTTGACAGAGCCACAACAAACTGTTTCTTAGAACTCCAAGAAATAGGACCTCCCAGAAACTTGAACAAGTAACCAGAAATACTTCTTCTGTCAACTCTATCTCCACACCAGTCAGAATCAGAATAACTTATTAGTTCTGGTTCTGTCTTTCTTCCAGAAGGAAATAACACTCCATATTTCAGAGTTTCCTTGATATACCTCAGAATCCTGACAGCAGCTTGGTAATGAGATCATTTTGGTTTGCTCATGAATCTGCTAACCATTTCAACTGCATAGCAAATGTCAGATTTGATATTGCACAAGTACCTGAGAGAACCAACCAACTGCTTGAAGGTTGTAACATCTACAAAATCACCATCAGAATTAAAATCTAATTTATGATTGGTTTCTGATGGTGTCACAACACCTTTACAATTCTACAACTTAAACCTCTTCAGAAGTTCAAGTTCATACTTCAGTTGATGTGGAATGATACCCTTCTTTGAGTACAAAATTTCCATTCCTAGAAAATATACCATATTTCCCAGATCTGTCATCTCAAATTCATTCATCAGAACTTCTTTGAACTTGATTATATCTTCTGGACAACTTCCTGTTAGCAATATGTCATCAACATATAGACACACCAGAATCATATTGCCACCAGAATGCTGCACATATACACCATATTCCATCTCACATTTCTGAAACTTCTGCCTCTTGAAAAATGAATCAATTTTCAGATTTCAAGCTCTGGGCGCTTGTTTCAGTCCATACAAGGCTTTATATAACTTGTATACCATTCCTTCCCGATTCTTTTTCACATAAGCAGGAGGTTGTGACACATATACCTCTTCTTGTAACTGACCATTCAGAAATGCAGACTTCGCATCCAGATGTATCAAAGGCTAATTTCTGTTTGCAGCTAAAGCAATCACCAGTCTGATTGTTTCACGTCTAGCTACAGGAGCAAACACCTCAAAGTAATCTAGCCCAGGTTTCTGAATAAAACCTCTAGCCACTAGTCTCGCTTTGTGTTTTCCAATTGATTCATCTGGCTTAAGCTTCACCTTGAAAACCCATCTGACACGTATGACTTTCTTCTTTTCTGTAAGCTTTGTCAACTTCCAAGTTTTGTTTCTTTCAATAGTCTCAAATTCTTCCTTCATGGCATTCAACCATACTTTCTTCTTGAGATCTTCTTCAATACCCATTGGTTCAGAATATACTAACATGACACACTGAATGACTTCTCCTTCAAAATCTACTTCAATGTCATGCAACATGTCAAAATTTGCAAACCTACTTGGTATTTGTCTGATTCTCTGTGGCCTCTGAACTTGCTCTGAAGCTTCTCCAGAACTCGGAACAATGCTAGCTTCTGGATCTTGTCCAAAACTACTTCCTTCAGAATTACCACCTTCAGAGTTACTTATGGAAGCTTGTCCTCCAGACCCTATGTCTTTAGAGTTTTCCCTTTCAGAAATATAATCACCACCAGATTCTGGATCATCATTAGAATCTGGATCAGAATCAGATCCATCATCAGAATCTCCCTGAGATTCTGACTCATCTTCAGAGTCTTTAGAATCAGATTCATCTTCTGACTCTGACTCGTCTTCAGAACTTTCTGAAGAATCTTCAGAAACTAACTCTGGTGTTGGCGCTA